GGGGAAAAGGCTCCAACAGATAAACATTACACGCGTAGCGTCCACGCCACTCCACGCTTCGTTAGTCCAGAGTGAGAGCCATCGGCGACGAGAGCTTCTTTTCTCTCTTTCTCTCTTCTTCCCGCAAAAGAAGAAACTGCGTTTCTACAACCCGGATGTAACGGGACGCATCACGATCTTTATCGTCTTATCAGCCGATCCTCTAACGAAAGCGGTCACGGAGCAGCTTGCAAACATCAACAAGAAGAAAGACGCGCTAACGAAAACTTGTTGACGATACAATCCCACCACCCTTTCGTTTAACATTATTAAGCGTTGATCAACGTGGACCACTACGAGGGATCATGGATCTCGTTTACATACCAGAGCTGTTTACCTACGGATATTTGAGGAATCCGCAGTACCACGACTACGAGCAGCCGTGGAACAGAGACTATTTCAAGTGCGGTAGCAGTAAGTCTAGAACCTTCTCTTTACCTCGTTAAATTATCATGATTTAGATAATAAATTTATATTTTATTCGATATTTAATCGGAAATCTTGGCGGAATATTTTAACGGTGGAATGTAATAAATTCGTATTACGAAATAAGCTTGTTTTCTAGAATTAGATGGCCTTAGAACGACGTATTAATTGATAACAAACTACAAGTGCGTTCTAAAAGTAGCAGTGAGCGATAAAGGAGGACTTCTTATATTATATTTATATATTTGTCGCGACCACGTTTCTTCGAAAAAATGTACAGGTACATTTCTTTTTCCCAAATCAGGCTATGTTCAGATTTCCATCAGAGTGCCACGAGGGTCACTGAATGTTAAACAAGTGATCTGTTTTCTGTTCCTTCACTAGACTGTTCTAGAATTCTTTCTCGCTTTCGACAAATATTAAATGTATATTTAGGTGGAAATTTGAACGCGCCGTAGGATACCGATTATGTACTTTTTCCCTATGGGACGGAAACATGAAGTGAAAATTTTTTCCATTAACATCAGTGATAAGAATTTTTACTAATATCAAGAGTTGCTAATAGATTAAAAATCCTTAAATATCCAGATTTAAAATCCTTAAAGTTCAAAAGAGATTTGAAAATAACTGCTCTCTTTAATTCAAGACAGAATTTCAATTTAAAATTATAAAAAACTAAATCGACATTAAAGGACATATTTTCATTATTAAAATTATAAATATCTAGTAAAAATTAAAGATTTGAAAATTAGTATCATTGAAAAGTTTGACTGTTCGTTATTCGAAACGTTCACAGACGAAGTTAAATTTATTGTGTACAAATTTTTTGTACTGGATAAGATTTCTCTTTCTTTCTCGATATACAATAATAACTTTGTGAATATGTCACAGACGTGCCGCGAAATTAGCAATATTTACTCGACGTACTTTTGCAAGCAGAATACAGGACATTTTTTCAATATAAATAAAACACGCTGATAGTACAATCTTTACGAGCAATTAATTTGTTGATTCAATCAATAAAATTTTTCTTTTCCCACCTGTGCTGTTTTAACACGGAATTACCAAAATAAATTGTATAAGATAAATATATTTTTGGATAGAAAAAATTACGAGGATTCAATTTACAAGTTATTTCAAGATAATATTTCTTCGCACCTTTCAGTGCAGAAAGACGTATTTATCTTTAATTTTATAATTCTGGAGTCTGATGTTTGGATACTCATCTGTTAATTAATTCATTGTATAAGTGTAAAATTTCTTTATTTATTCACCTAAGTCCTCGAAATTCAGAAATCTCCAGATAGTTTACACCAGAGTTGGTAAAGACTAATGTTTTTTTTATGAATAAAACATATTGTGTTTCTTCTTAAATATGTTTTTAATACTTTAAATATGTTTTAAACAGTACTATAAAAAAATATGTTTAAAATATATTAAAAACATCAATTAAGCATGTTTTAAACTGTTTAAAACACGTTTAAAACATGTTTTTTACCAACCCTGTTTAAACATATGTGAACATTTCTTCATTACCCCAGACTTGTCATTATCGGTCACTCGATATCCAGATTCTTCGAGTATTTTCCTATCAAGTCGTCCACGCAAATAGGGAAAGTACTCCAAACGACAACATCGACATTACCTTACATGATCGACACAAGAAAAAAAAAAGCGAAAGAGAAAGTCTTATTTTATTGCCTTATTTTATTTTGAAATATTTTCCGGGTAAAACCTGATATAATCCGCTGATTTTCTATCTAGTTTCTCCTTTTCTTGAAATACACGAGATGAATACTAAAATAATACCCATGGGTATATTGATAGCACAATAATAAAACGGGATAATAAAGCAGTGAAGGTGAGGCGAACCAAAGAAGCAATAAAAGAAACTGTAGAAAAATTAGAGCGGCTGTATTCCGGAAGTTCCGGACGGAAATACTTTCATCGGATGTTGCGTGGAATTTGCAAGAACTATAATTGTTACTCTTCCCGGTTGTTAGCCGCGTAGTCACGCAAACGAGTTATATTCGTCGCGTAATATAGTGGGGGGGGTGTTTGTTATTTGGGAGGGAGGGGGATGTTTGTTATTTGGATGAGAAAGTAGTTGCACATAAATGTATTGGCAGCGACAATAAAAGTTGCTGCAATTACGAAAATAAATTTTCCAAAATTATCTATTACGCTCACAAAAATGTTGCAACTATACTCTATGATAAGATTTGACATAATTTCTTCCCTTTTGTCTATCGTAACTATGAAACAAAATTTTATCATAGTTACGATAAAAATCAGATACGAAATAAATACGGAACTACTCAGAAAAGAGAAAAGTATAATACTCTTTTGAAATATGTGTAAAGAGTACTAAAAAATTATTGCAATTGCAGATATCGAAAAAATATAGTTACATTTTTCATTATCAAGTATCATCGATATTCGTGCAGTGACGGCTATCGTGAAACAATTTGCGAACAAAGCTGTTTTGTATAATAGAGACGTCATCATATTTTACGTCGCAAGATATATCACTATGAGCAGTATAGATAAACGCAATAATGGATAAAAGTTATCTACAGATAAATCAAACGTTTTAGATAAAAAAAATAATTTCATAAATATATAATTATCGTAACGTACATATTCAAAAGTGTTTTAAATTTATAAATATATGTATATTATTAATAAATCGCATAATTTTATATATAACAGATTTTCCGGAAAAAAAAAATTAATATTATTACACAAATAAGTATACTTGATAAATTGCAGAAAAGATCCTAGCGAATTTACGTCGCATTTTTATTAAATACGTTAGCTAGAATTGCGTACAGCCAGATATTCTATACGTCATATCTGTCAAGTAGATTAAAAATGCTGAATTATGTATGTGATGAAATACAATCACACATCGTATTATGTACACTTTCCTACTTATATACTATGTGCAATTTTAAAATATTATCTGCATCAGTATCCTGTTAATAAATATATTCTCGTTTAAAAAAAAAAAAAATCACTAAAACGCGTCAGCGAATAAATAATGCAATATGATTCTCTTTATCATATATTATCATATATATTAAACTACTATAATCTAAATATACCTTGCGTTGTTGCGGGAAAATAATTACGTTATCACGAGAATCTGCGCTTTTGATTTCTATTGGAGTACATTCAGTCAGTAATATTTCTTTTATATGACAGCTACTTACAATTCTTTTTTTAGAACAAACGACTTAAAAATATAATTTATGCTAACGATAACTATATCAGCCAATAGCTAAAAGAAAACAAATCGTCTTTTTGTATCGAAAAAGACACGTGCGTTACCGTATATTTCTCATACAGATCAACCTTGTTTACGTCGTCATAACGAGATAAGAGTTACATAATTAGACAAATCAGTAGCACGAAATGTTTATTTGCGAATCTGCCTATCTCGATATTCTTCATTTCTTTACATCATCTAATAACTGTTGTAATAGTAATAATACTTCGATATGCTTGTTTATTGCGTCTGGTATTAACAGTCCCGGTCTTAACGCGGATAAATGACAAAAAAATTTCACGTTATCGCATTTACAAGATAAGTTGCAATATAACAGATTAAAACAAATATTATATTGAAACGCGTTATAATTTAAAGAAAAAAGTGTATTGATTAAAAATTGATTACGTCGCGAAAACAATGTACGCTCGAATTACTAGTGTACACATGTTATCGGCACTACTATACCGATTACGTAAGAACTGTGATATTTGACACTTTGAGAAATAGCAAATTCTTCAGTAAAATTAAAATCATAATTTTTTTTACAAGAGTTTAAAAGAATTTAATTCAATTACTGTCTAAGAAGAAAAGAATGTATCTCGAGGTAGAGATACGATCGAACAATTCCGCATTATCCTATTTCGATTGTTTCAAGCGCCTGTCACGTATACTACGTTTCTGTGATACCCACGTGTCTATTTTTAGCCAGTTCCTTTAGGTGGCCGCGCACTACATGATCCAAATCGCGTTTCAAGCGCAACAGCGTCTCTCCTTATCAATTAGCGAATTGTCTTCGACATTCAACGCAGAAGATACTCGGCATTAATCGTAAAAATGTTTTATTATATAAAAATGTTAATCGAACTTGGAATAGAAGCTCTTTCATGAGAGACAAATTTTAAAACGCATATTCCAATTCTTCCAGATGGCTGAATCGTTTCTATTAGATTAATCATCCGTTTAAGAGTATAATTGCGATCCGTCAGTATGTTTGCGATTGATTCCCAAGATTATTGTGCGTAGTACGTCCCCGAGTATCTCTACGAGGTGAAACGACAGATTTCCGTGACTCACGGAATGAGCTAAGCTATAATCATCTGGCGCTACAAGTGAATGCGTTCAAGATTGTACGTCGGAATTTTTTGTTCTCGTTTTTCTTCAATTAACACTGGAACTGTGACGGTCACCGACGCTATATACTAGTATGTTTCGTTGACGCAAAATAGAAACTATAATTACATGCAACAAGCTAAGTAGCTATATAAAGAACGCATTATACGCAATAATTAATGTATTTGGTGAAAATTTTCGTTTGTTTATTTTTAATCATTTATTAGTGATAGCAAATGTAACTTTCAGAAGCTTGTAAACGTACACGTGCATGGCACGATTCAGTAAAGCAAAATGACTTTCGTTTCAAATAAACAACGAAGAATTTGTCAATTTATTTAATGATAGATGTCTAATTTAAATTCCGTTAGTCGCTGTATTTTTCCAGATATCAAATATTATGAAATATACGTATTAATTGCAAAAGACTCACTCCATTTTCTATTCATCAGCATTGTTATGATTATTTCAATGAGATATTTTGAGTATAAAACGATTTCATTTTGTGAGGAAAATGTCGATAGTTCTGACATTTTCTTTGATTTAATTCTATGATTTAATTCTATGATTCTATAATTACTGAAATGTCAGATAGATTTTCTCTGAAAAATACTTTTGAATTTTTATCACTCGTAAACTGTACTACATGTCGACTTATCGAGAAAAGTATCACGTCGTAAACATTCACCTTAGCAAACTTAGAACCGGTATACCAAAGAATAAACAAACCGGTTTGACGAACAAGTTTTATATAACTTGTAAAATGCGACATAAAATTTCTATCGACAGAATGAAAATATTTTCGAGAGATTTTCCTATTAGTACGCGTATTGAATATTTCAAAAAAATATGGTAGAAACATTTATCTCAATCGGTGAAAAAAGTTAAGTTCCTTCTCTTCTCATTAGTCTATTTCGCATTATTGTTTAGAAAAATCAGTGGAAAATCAACGAACCGTACAGCAGCAATCCAAAGAAAACTGTCACTTGTGCAAAGAAATGAAAAGAAGAAATCTGGCAGTTTACATAAGAAGTAAATCACGAAGCGATTCCTGTCACGAAGGGATTCAAGAAGAAGAGGAGAACGACGTAATGTACAATGAGAGAAAAATCGTAAACGCCGACCGAAATAAGTCTGCAAAATCGTCATGCAGTGCAGAGAAATCATAGCCTCGTAGTATTATACATAATGGTCACAACAATAATATTAATTTTATATTAAGATAAGCATAACATGCAGATGTAAATATAAATACTAAACATAACTTTATTATATATATATATATATA